GGCCTTATGATCCAAGTTCAAAGTGAACACTTCAGTATTTTCAAAGATTAATGTTGCACGTTAATCTTTAAACAGTAATTTTCTAAGTTTAAAAAATCATGGTGTAATCTGATTTAATTATCTAGCCTGCACGTCTAGTTATCTCGTTCCCACTACTTAAACGACTTAGTAGCTCATGGCCGTGACATAGTATCTCGTGGCTACGATATAGTATCTCGTTCCCACGACTTAACTATCTCGTGGCCACGACTTAGTACAGTACAAACTTGATTTTTTTTCTGTAAAATAAAATAAATATAATTTGGCTTCACACAAATATGCGTGCTTTAAATCCTTTACATTGTAAGTGGGCAGTATGAATATTCATGTATAGTGTTATTACAAAACATATATGGAAGTTTCTTTTAAAGACAGGCACAACTTTATTTGACCCGTAATAAGAAAACAGATTCCTATACATTTATGTGTATGTGTTTTTATTTAAATAAAACATATTTAGTAAGAATTTTATAGATTTCAATAAATTTCTGTGATAAAAATATCTTACTGAAAGATGTGCATAATATATCATTAAGCACAAATGTATGTGAATGTGGTGGTGTGTGCGGGATATCTGATCTAATCAGACACACATATGCCCAACATTTGAGCCGCGTCACGACAAAACCAACATAATGGGTTTGCGACCAGCATGGATCAAGACCAGCCTGCGCGTCCGCGCAGTCTGATCAGGATCCATGCTGTTCGCTTTCAAACTCTTTTACAAGTAGAGAAACTGATAGCGAACAGCATGGATCCTGATCATACCGCACGGACGCGCAGGCTGGTCTGGATCCATGCTGGTCGCAAACCCATTATGTTGGTTTTGTCGTAACGCGGGTCATTTGTAATTGACTATGCACATGTTACAAAAATAAACAACTTCCTTCTTTCCTTATTATACATGTATATTCTAATGTGTTACATACCTATTCGCCACTATTAGTGACATTTATTAAGTTATAAGGCCAATAATTTTTGCTTTTTAATGTCAAAGTCATTAGATAAAGACCTTAGCAGTACCTAGGCCGGTGCTTAACAGCTGGATGACAGCATAATATGTTTTGGTAAGGGAGTACACTAAGAAGACTATTGCATGAAACTGACACGTATATATTCCATCCCAGCTCATGAACGTATATTTGGGGGTAGGTGCAGCCCTTAAGCCAGGGCCTGAATCCGCCACTGTACGTATAACTGCCCCATTGAATAACTGTTTACGAGCATATTTTTTCTATTAGACTGTATACATATATAAAATTATATTGCATAATCCTTTACTACTTGTATTTATATTCTTTCAACTTAAGCGCTTACTACGTATTTTATTTATATATACATGTACGCAGTATCTATACGGAAAATTCCGATGATAGGCGAATCGCGGAAAAATTCCGTTGATATCGATAACAGAGTTCTCGCCCCTTAAAAGTTCACAAATCGCTAGACATAGTTTAAATTGTTTATCATAATGTAAGATGATCAAACATAACCCACAAAGCCTCAGACATCGAGTTTTTTTAAGCAATAATGGATATAAGCGAAAGCTAATAGTAATCACGCCATGCGAGCTATAAATCAAATAAGTCACATTTTAACAAAATCCATCAGGGAACAAAAAATAGTCAATTTTAAATGACTTCTACATAAAATACAAAAAAACTAAACCGTAAATGGTTTGTATAGAGCATGAAGAAAGGTAACTTATACATAAAGGTATATGACGTTAACATTTTAGTATTCCAAATGGCTTGTTCCAGTTTCATAGTTATCACTCAATGAAAGAATTGGTCACTGCGAAATGTTTGAATGAAATAATGAAAAATGGAATCAAGCATAATGCAAAGTTTAAATATTATAAAGCAAGATGGAATTAAGCATAATGCAAGTTCTAATGTCATGTAGCAAGATAGAATTAAGCATAATGCCAGTTCCAATGTCATCAAGCAAGATGGAATCAAGCATAATGCAAGTTCAAATGTCATCAAGCAAGATGGAATTAAGCATAATGCAAGTTCCAATGTCATCAAGCAAGATAGAATAAATGCATTAATTCTGTTCCATAATAAAGTGTAGCTGTCGTAAAAAATGAACATAAATGATATTTTGATGCAACCATAGTTATGCAGAATTCCGTATGTATCAAACTTTGGTGCCTTGCAAAATGAATTATAATGGTATAAAAATAAATTTATACAGGAAAATACATACAGATATACAGTACGATTTAGATTGCAAAGATCACAAAATACCACAGAACTTGCAGCCCTTTGATTCTTTATAAATATACATGCTTATAGTAAGCTCCAGGATTATTTACATCTGTGTTAAACAACAGTTAAAGTCGTTACAAGCCCTAATTTAGAATAATATGGTTTTCTTCAGGCCGTTTACATATAAATTCACCGTGGCTGAAGGGTTTTCGCGCTCGCTTAGGAAGCGAGAGGTCTGGAGTTCAAATCCCAGTAAAGGCAACTCATTTTTTTTTTCAAATTGTTTAAGTCAAATAAACATTGGGTTGCAATTAGTCTTATAGCCAATTTACTATAATTAAAACGCTGGAAAGCATTGGTGGCACTATACATATAATCTCACAACCTGTACCTTTATTACATTCTGAGACCCAAACAAATTCATCGCCTTCTGTGCTTTGATTTATCTCGTGGCCCCGAGATAATTAAGTCGTGGCCACGAGATAAATAACCAATCAGATTACACCATTTATGTAAATTTCCCTAATTAACTAGACATGTGCTTTAGTACAAGGATGCCCCTTCTTCACCAGCCTGTAAAAGTGCCTTTTATAACTGACTTGTCAATAATTTTACATTTAGCGTCATAGCGTATCTGATTTTTGACCCAATGACCTCGAAATAATTAGATGTCATCTACTGATCAGGTGCAATGATCTTCCTGGGTTACATTAACTATGGCTTATCCTTTCTAAATTATTCATCAGACAAGGATTTTACCTTATAGGCTATTTACTGTCCATGGGCAATGTCCCTTACAAATAAAATAAACCAGGACTTATTCCTTCTCATGCTATCGTATAAACAAGGTTAACAGGCCGTACTACGTACAAACTGACCAATTCGATCACAAACTTGCCCAACAAAGAGCTATAGTCAAAATAATGTCCGATGGGCCTTGGAAGGTGACTTTCTAATATGATCTTAAAGACAAGTGAATATCTTCAATATTTTCAAAGATTAATGTTGCATGTAAAAGTAAGTTGTTAAGTTTAAAAAAATCATTATATATATAGTGTATTCTGATTGGTTAATTATCTCGTGGCCTATCTTAGCTATCTCGTTACCACGACTAAGTAACTCGTGGCCACGACATACTATCTCGTGGCCACGACTTAGCTATCTCGTGGCCACGACTTAATAACTCGTGGCCACGACATAGTAACTCGTGGCCACGACATAGTATGTCGTGGCCACGACTTAGCTATCTCGTGGCCACGACTTAATAACTCGTGGCCACGACATAGTAACTCGTGGCCACGACTTAGCTATCTCGTGGCCTCGACTTAGTAACTCGTGGCCACGACATAGTATCTCGTGGCAACGACTTAGTAACTCGTGGCCACGAGATAAATATAAACACACACATGTCACCTTTGTGCCACCGTATGATAGTAATTACAGTCTCGGTAATTTATTTCATTGTACAAAAAAAAATGAAACCGAATCAGACGTATACTTTCTTTCATATCGGTGTAAACGGTAGATAATCCAGTCTGATATGCAAAAATGATAATATCTGTCATATGTTTCGGTTCAGATCGGAATATCCGTCCCGAGGGTACTCCGCTCATTGGGCGGTAACGAGGCTTTCATATTTTGCTATACGTGTAAAGTAAGAACAGCGAGTGCATTGTCGTAGAATAACGCACGTTTCCGGCCTTCTTTTTTTATATAGAAAAATTCCAATAGTGTAAGAATGTTAAATATATCACTCTTCCTGCCTTCTTTGTTTATAATTATAAGAGAAATTACTGAACAATTCACTCGCCGTTCTTATTTCCGCCCTCTGTATTTTCAAACCGACACATTGACGGCGCTATTTTGTTTGAAAAAATCTGATAAATAAGAAACAACTTTTGTTGATTTTTTTCTGAAAACTATTTAGGATGATAGAAAGTGGTATAACTAAAAAATAAATTATAACACCAATAACTTTATTCAGTCATTAACCCTGTACAGACGTTTAAAGTGATGTTTACGTGACGTCACAATGTAGGTGCAAAATCATCTATTTCAATTCCGCAAAAGAAATAAAAAATAAATTTCACATTTATTTCACTGTAAATTCTCTGTATTTCGCTTGAAAAAAATATAAAGTGAAATAAAATAAACACACACAAATTTTATCAACGTTTTTTAAAATTTAATTATTCTCAACGGTAGACTTAACGACCGACTGGAACAGCCGGTAAAGAACGTTTCTATTGGAAAATCGAAGGCGGAACCAAATTTAAGCACCAAACATATAGTCCAACTTTATTTTTTTTCTTGACGTGTAGAATGGAAATAGATATTAATTCTTCATGCATTTTAGTATACAATGTAATAATGAACGTTTTTTTGTAATTAATCACTCTTTATTCTAAAACAGTGCACTCAAAAATGATATCTATTTCCTAAATATAATTATTTCCATTGTAACGGGCTCTTGTTATTCACATTTTGTGCATTTTAGCTGGTGTCAGGTCCTAATAATAATTATGAGTTACCTGCAGTTTCGATGTTCGTATAAAACATTGCTTAATATGGAATTAATGTGTCAATATGTCATGGCATAATGTAAAACCTAATTTACGGTGGTGATATGGCATGAAATTAAAATTAAACAAGAAAGACGACTACACAAGCCCATTACCAGTTGACCGACCCTTCAGCACCATTAAGTCAATTACGTGATAGATCAGGGTAATTGTAGCAATTACTTACATGCAATACAGATTGTAAGAATAATGGCGATAATGGCGAGTCTCATCTGTAAAAGAAGAAAAAGGGAAAATTATGAATCCAAACACTTCATCTACATTAAGGGTGTTCTCTTACTCAGGTTACAAGAAACTAGATTTAAACAAATGGTAAAATTAAATATATTTTAAATTGTTTTATAGTACGGTAAAGTTGGAGGCAAGACGCGGTTAAACAAACCCGTCCATACTTAAATTAAAACGGCCTTATTTGGTGTACTTTCACATTATTGCCACGGAACGGTTCCGAGCCCGTGTCCAACATTATCATACTACTCGTATTACGCTATTCTCTGACTATTACGCTCCTAGTAATCAATAATAGCCAAAGTTAAATGTATAAGACAAACAAACCAGTACTGGCGTTTTGTTTTGGTTTTTAGGGGGGCGGGTTGTTTTGGTTTTTTTTTGTTGTTGTTGTTGTGTTTTTTTTCTTATTATTTATTCAGTATTATTATTATTATTATTATTATTATTATTATTATTTAGAATGGGAAATAAAAGAGCAAAAGTTAACATACTTATATACTTTCATGACTCAAGCCAGTGGCTCTATCCAAAGGGAGGCATAACGTTACAGTGTAAATCTGAATCTTAAAATAAAATTGATATTTTAGTGAATACGATTCATAGTTATTACATATATAAATTATAATAATAAAATGTAATTTTTAAGACAGAATTACCTTTTTCTAGTTTGTTATCCCAACTTGTCGTGTAAAGAGGTGTTTCACTGTTTCCTCCTGGCCTAGTTTATTATCTCCCATTATCTTTAACCTGCATTATCAACTGTACTCTGATCCTAAATCGAAAAGAGAGACGAGCGCAGTAAATTAATTTTATATCATGGGGGACTTGTTGCAAGTACATTGACAGAACTTAAACATGTTCTTGACAATTATATATCATAACTCAAACATGTTCCCGACAATTTTATATATTATATTTATCATAACTCAAAACATGTTATTGACAACTATATATCATAACTTAAACATGTTCCCGACAATTGTATATCGTAACTTTAAACATGTTCCCCACAATTATACAATGTATATCATAACTTGTTCCGGGTTCCGATAACAATATATCAAAACTAAAACATTTATAAAACACTCATGTTCCCAACAAGTAAATAACATAACTCATAAGTAGACATCACCACTGTTTCCGGCTTACCGTTAATTATACATATCATGACTAAATCCTTTTATTTATATCTCAAACATGTTCCCCTTATCATTCCTGATAATTATATATCATAACTCTAGTCATGTTCCCAATAATTATACAATATACAAATGTATATTGCAACTTAAACATGTACCCGTTAAATATTGCAGAATAGAGCTACGAAATAAGTCATCTACACTCTAAAGAGAGACACAGGCAAAATGTTCATTTCTTCGCAATGAATTTTTAAATATTTTTCTGTAAATGTTCTCAAAATAAATACACTAAACAATCAAAGGAATAAAACTTTTCTCCTTATAAATAATAAAGTGGTGGTTTCCTAACTTGACCCACGTGGGTCAGGTTAGAGTCTTAAGATTTCACAATAGTTGTGGAAACGTTAAAGAACATGTCAAATGGAGGACTTAAGACTTGTTTCAATTATACAATATCCACAATATCAATTGTTACTTCCAGGGTGTGTTCAAGTCACATGACTTGTTTTAAAACTACTCAGTGATTCTGTCGTCCAACATATATAGAAGTATTTACGCTTTAAACCCAAAATTTATAGATTTTATACAGATGTTCATGCTTTGGACTTTAAAAAATGTCATTTTAGCGTGATTTGAGTACATAAGACCATTTTCATATTTGTGTCATTAATTTGTCTGAGCATCCCTGAGTGAATATGTGACAGAAAATAACATTTTTTTTATTTTATCTTACAAGCATTTTCGAAAACAAGTGTCTGATACAATATCGTGTACTTAGAGAGTAAAATTTTATGAAACAATATTTTATATCGAAAACAATTTTTTGTACATGACATGCCAGCTGCACGTGAACGTATATGTGTCATTTTATCTTTTCGCATGTGATAACTTGTTAATCATTGTTCATTTTCATATATAAATCATATCGCTCAAGTATAAGATAAAAGATAGGAGAAGTACACAATGTGACGATAAATATATGGTATACGAAATTTTAAAGTGTTCTCAGTTTGATCAACATCATCTGTCACATAACATAAATAGTTGAGTAGTGGATTTAGAGTGGCAACTTTGTTATATTTGCTTGTTGATTACACAGTGACGTCTGTAAAAGGAAACATGAAACAGACGAAATCATTTTTTAGTGTCTGATCCCAGTTATTTTATTCAGAATTGTTTTCATAGAAAAAAAAACAACAAAATTATGGGGCTTCTGGTTTAAAGAAAACTTATGTAAATAAAGAATAAAATATTGGAATCAGAATACGTTTGTGTAAATACATCTGACAGATGTATTTAAAATGATAATTTTATTATTAGCTAGAAATACAGTTACCATTGTTTTTCTGATAATTAATGTAGAGTTTGTACGAAAATATCTGCATGTTTCCATTGAGCTTGCTTTTTATACTATTATTCGGAGCCGTCCATGTGAGCTTTTGAAAGCAAAGTGAAAACTTCAAACCTTGCTACAACCTATATACAAACCAAGTTTGATGATGATATAATGTTTGATTTAGCTCTCCCAGTCTGTAAAATATTTAATCTAATTTGCAAAATTGACAGACAATTACGAATGGCTTATCATTCTGCAACAAGATGGTTTTAAAGGGTGCAAACCAGTAAACTTGAAGCAAATCTATTAATTACAGAGTTGACAATAGCGGACACTCGACGCAGGCGCATTCTGTTCGAATACTGTACAGTGGAACCTTTTTTCCAGCTGTCAATGAAATAATGGGTGTTGATTATGTGTTGTTTCTAGTGGACATATTATTGTGGTACGAGTATATCAGGCAAAAAATCTAAGAATTTGAAATTGAATTGTTGATGAATAAAAGCTGGTGCCTATACATGTATTTGTATAGATATTGCAAACATTATAACAAGAATTTGTAACAGAGTTACCAACGTCCCCCGCCCCGGGAGTTTTATATGAAGCATAAAATTGTGCTATTCCAAAAGATATAGGTATGGATCTCGGGACATTCAGTCCAAAATTATGATCAATGCTAAGTCTGCAAATGTAACAATAAATTTGTTAAAAAAATAAAATGAAACACGGAATTTAAAAATCTATCATGTTAAGCTTTGACCTCTAAGTGTGACCTTGACCTTGGAGGTAGGGGAGCAGGTGCATGACATAACGTCTTATTATTGAGACTATTTGTGCCAAGTATTTTCAAAATCCCTTCAACTATGAAGAAGTTATAGATTGGACACAAAATATACACTATAACAGACTATGTAAATCTTTGACCTCTAAGTGCGACCTTGACCTTGGAGGTAGGGACACAGATGTTACGCATGACATATCATCTAATCATTGTGACTATTTGTGCCAAGTATTTTCAAAATCCCTTAATCTTTGAAGAAGTAATGGATGGGAAGAAAAATATACCAAATAACAGACTCTGTTAACCTTTGACCTCTAAGTGTGACCTTGACCTTAAGAGGTAGGGGTGCAGGTGTTGTACCTGACATATCGGCTTATTATTGTGACTATTTGTGCAAAGTTATTTCCAAATCCTTTGAACTATGAAGAAGTTCTAGATTCGATACAAAATATACCCTATAACAGACTATGTAAATTATTGACCTCTAAGTGTGACCTTGACCTTGGAGGTAGGGATGCAGGTGTTGCACATGACACATCCTCTTATTAAAGTGACTATTTGTGCAAAGTATTTTCAAAATCCTTTGATCTATGAAAAAGTTTTAGACCGGACAAAAAAAATACCCTGTAACAGACTATGTAAGTATTTGACCTCCCAGTGTGACCTTGAACTTGAAGGTAGGTGACCGGTTTTTGCGCATGACACATCATCTGATTATTGTGAACAATTATGGCAAGTATTTACAAAATCCCTTCATAGATAAGAAAGTTATGGACCGGACACGACATATACCCTCAAATAGACAATGTTGACCTTGAATGAGCAAGTACGACCTTGACCCTGCAGGTACGTGTCTGGTTGTTGCGCATGAAACATCCTCTTATTATAACAAACATTTGTGCCAAGTTATTTCAAAATCCTTTCACAAATGACAAAGTTATGGACCGGACACGAAATATACCCTGTAACAGACTATGTTAATATTTGACCTCCAAGTGTGACCTTGACCTTGAAGGTAGGTAACTGGTTTTTGCGCATGACACATCGTCTGATTATTGTGAACAATTATGGCAAGTATTTACAAAATCCCTTCATAGATAAGAAAGTTATGGACCGGACACGACATATACCCTCAAATAGGCAATGTTGACCTTGAATGAGCAAGTGTGACCTTGACCCTGGAGGTAGGGGTCTGGTTGTTGCGCATGACACATCGTCTTATTATAATAAACATTTGTGCTAAGTTATTTCAAATTCCTTTCATAAATGACAAAGTTATGGACCGGACACGAAAGTGTGACGGACGGACAGACGGACGGACAGACAGTCTGTCCGGACAGACGGACGGACAGACGGACGGAGCCTATTTCTATATCCCCCTTTTTTCTTCGAAAAGGCGGGGGACAATTATAGTCATGTACATCTGTACATGTATATCTTATTTTAGAATTTTATGAAACTACGACAACTGTCGTGTGCGTTAACACACAAAGCCAACACATTATAAACTACGACAACTGTCGTGTGCGTTAACACACAAAGCCAACACATTATAAACTACGACAACTGTCGTGTGCGTTAACACACAATGCCAACACATTATAAACGACGACAACTGTCGTGTGCGTTAACACACAAAGCCAACACATTATAAACGACGACAACTGTCGTGTACGTTAACACACAAAGCCAACACATTATAAACTACGACAACTGTCGTGTACGTTAACACACAATGCCAACACATTATAAACTACGACAACTGTCGTGTACGTTAATACACAATGCCAACACATTATAAACTACGACAACTGTCGTGTACGTTAACACACAATGCCAACACATTATAAACTACGACAACTGTCGTGTACGTTAACACACAAAGCCAACACATTATAAACTACGACAACTGTCGTGTACGTTAAGACACAATGCCAACACATTATAAACTACGACAACTGTCGTGTGCGTTAACACACAAAGCCAACACATTATAAACTACGACAACTGTCGTGTGCGTTAATACACAAAGCCAACACATTATAAACTACGACAACTGTCGTGTGCGTTAATACACAAAGCCAACACATTATAAACTACGACAACTGTCATGTGCGTTAATACACAAAGCCAACACATTATAAACTACGACAACTGTCGTGTGCGTTAATACACAATGCCAACACATTATAAACTACGACAACTGTCGTGTGCGTTAATACACAATGCCAACACATTATAAACTACGACAACTGTCGTGTGCGTTAATACACCATGCCAACACATTATAAACTACGACAACTGTCGTGTGCGTTAATACACAATGCCAACACATTATAAACTACGACAACTGTCGTGTGCGTTAACACACAAAGCCAACACATTATAAACTACGACAACTGTCGTGTGCGTTAACACACAATGCCAACACATTATAAACTACGACAACTGTCGTGTGCGTTAATACACAAAGCCAACACATTATAAACTACGACAACTGTCGTGTGCGTTAACACACAATGCCAACACATTATAAACTACGACAACTGTCGTGTGCGTTAATACACAATGCCAACACATTATAAACTACGACAACTGTCGTGTACGTTAATACACAATGCCAACACATTATAAACTACGACAACTGTGGTGTGCGTTAACACACATAGCCAACACATTATAAACAATGATAACTGTCAATAGACAATTTTAGTGAGCAGTTATTTAATAAAATATGTCATACAATTTAGTCTGTTTAACGGAATTGTTTGAATATACAATGTAAACAATCAATGAACTACATGTACTATAGAACATAAACATGTCTTTTAATGTCAGTAAATTTCGAAAATGAAAATCACCTATGCAGAAACTAACTTGGATGAATTGTAAGTTCACAAAAGGCAAAAATAACTAGTGAAGAATATCTGATTTGCTGATCATTTTATTTCGTCAAAAAAAACCCCTCGGAATTGCTAAGTCATATAAACTCATAATGAAGAAGAAGAAAAAGACGAAGAATAAGTTTTTTTAAAACTATATTTCTCATGATTAACATATAAACAAGCATACAAATATAATGGCATGAAAGGTAGAAAGACATGAAAGTTAACATGATATATTTGATGTTTCTTTATTTTTATCACTTTGTAATAATTGAATAAACTTAAACATACTTGGTCTATTTCTATAATTATTCTTAATCTATATATTTCTTAAATTTTCATATGCAGGAAACTTAAACGCAAAATGGAGCTCATCCTCATAATGGCAAATATAACAATGCAAATATAACATACGAAGAACTCCTTATTCAATTTTATTGACCGTCAGCTTAATTTTAACAACTTACAAACATGTATCAACTTCACAAACCAGTGATCGCTTTATTTAGTCGAAAAAAAAACTAAAATGTTTTAAGTCACATCAGCATTATATCATATTATGCATGTATCTTTTATTATTTAATTAACAAATATAGCGTTACTTTATCTATTTTCTAGTCATACGTATTGTTTGTAAATGCGTGTATAATTAACAATACCATAACAACTTCATTTATTTGTAATTTCTTGTAATGTATTTAATTAATTTTAAAGACAGAAATGACATATACAGAAAAAAGACATTGGATACAATAAGGGAAATAATATTGGGTACAATAAGGGAAATGACATATTGGGTACAATAAGGGAAATAATATTGGGTACAATAAGGGAAATGACATTGGATACAATAAGGGAAATAATATTGGGTACAATAAGGGAAATGACATTGGGTACAATAAGGGAAATAATATTGGGTACAATAAGGGAAATGACATTGGGTACAATAAGGGAAATGATATTGGGTACAATAAGGGAAATGACATTGGGTACAATAAGGGAAATAATATTGGGTACAATAAGGGAAATGACATTGGATACAATAAGGGAAATAATATTGGGTACAATAAGGGAAATGACATTGGGTACAATAAGGGAAATAATATTGGGTACAATAAGGGAAATGACATTGGGTACAATAAGGGAAATGACATTGGGTACAATAAGGGAAATGGTATTGGTGCAATAAAGGCTTCATTGATTACTCGTGATAATAATCATCCGCCCTTATCTTCAACAACAGACCCTCTCAAGAAATACGATTTGGTTTCATTATTTGAAATGTATTTCAGATGTTACACTTTCATGTATTAGAAACTGTTATGCGTGTTAATATCAATGAAAATAATTACAATATATTGTAAAATAGGGGAAAATGTCAAATACATGGTATATCTTCTTCACTTAGATAGACAGAACTGGGTGACTGCAGACGACAATATGGTAATCATCCAAACAGATGGCGCCATCGTCCAACTTCCCGCTGTAATTATATATAACACAAAATATATAGTTTCGACAATACTTATTTAATGTACAACATTGCTTGCGGCGACATTTTTATCCCATAAACTACTCTGTATTGTTTGAATTTCCCCCAACATTTATAGAGATATCTTTTTTTTTTCATTTGGAGTTCAATGCATTATTTTTATTGGAAACTGTAGAAAAAAATGAAATGAAATATTTACTTAAAAATTGTTATGATTGTTCATTGTATACATGGCTTTTATACCTGTAGTATTGGGATGTATTGTGGTAATCGACATCCCGGTACTAGATGACGTTGTCTTAGTGGTGGTGGTGGTGTGCATTGTTGTTGACTTTGTCGTAGAGTTAGTCTGAGCAAAACCTGTAAAACGATAAATAAGGAAACTGTTCAATAACTTAATGTCACAATACACGTCATCACAATAAAACATATACTTTTCAAGTGTATACACCATAGATGTATAAAACTGTTCAACCCTAGCACACTGATTACGCTTCACAATAAACATTAAATATTAAACTGCTTACACCAATAACATCTTACATAAAACCATTAATTTATATTCATTCGAGTTTTCATTAATATTATTTTCGTTTTCATCACCAACAGTAGCATCATTACCATTGTCAATCATCATCATATCATCACCTTTTAGGAACATTTTTTCTTCTTCAAAAGTAATAGTTATGCAAACACTTCATCTCAAAATAATTAATTATATATGTGCATGTACGTATCTTCAGGGCATAGCCATTTTCTTTCATATGCTCCATTTGCCGAAATCACCTTTTGGCTTAATACAATGACTTTGCTTATGTTGTTATTGTTGTTGATGATGATGATAATGATGAAAACGACGACGTCAGTGATTATGATTCACTAATGACGAGGACAAAACCTGCAATATGTATCTATGTGAAAAGTATCTACGTACATCTAAAAGCTCACCGTAACATGTGAACAACTCACGGATGTACATAATTATAATATTAACATATATATGAAGTTTACATGTGAGCTGTATTCAGTATAAGCTTTTTACAGGATCGGTTAAGTACAGCATACAATTTTCAAGTTACTTGTACATATCAAAATGTCTTTAATCTTAGTTTGGAAATAACTAATGATTCTCTGTTTCGAAAGCTACACTATTAAAACAAGAACTTACAAACGATGCAAGACGCTAGGATTGCAACAATTGTCACCTTCATCTGAAAATAAATGTTGCACCTTTACACAACATAATTATGGTATTAATCAAAACCTGTAATTTTTTCGAAAAAATGGCATCAATCTGTTTTGTATCATTTCATTGAGCAGTTTTAACACTCCATCTATATCGTATCATTTAATGTACAATCATCTATAGTCCATCTGTTTTATGTAAATCGTTTATTATTTTAGCTGTGAAAATGGCTATGTCCCTTTATCGTGGCAGGCAAGACAAAATATGCCTTACATTGTCATTAAGGGGCCACAACTCTACAAATCCTTAATAAATAACCGGGAATCAGGTCGCTTGAATTCAATAGGAGCTAATAACGATAGACTGGTGATACAACGTTCTGTTAAATTTACGAATCTGTTTTTTTTTTTTTTTTTTTTTTAATAAATTGAACTATGATACAATTTCTGGCAAATAAAATGAAGTCAAATGAAAAAGAAGCTAGACTATGGACGGCGGACATCCATCAACTGTAAGAGAACCCAAGAACTTTACTTGCGGGGTTCAAATGCATTAACAAAAAAATCTCATTTTTATTGTTTAATATATACAAATCTGGCAAGCTATTTTTTGTGTGTTGAGGACAAATTACGACATTTACAGTGATACAACATGTCCGAATGTATAGCAATAAAGAAAATCTACTGTATAAATGCTAAATCAAATATAATTTTCCATGTTGATACAAATATACCACGATGTTTACTTCCGTGTTAGTGTAAATTTTAACAGGAACAGTTTCATGGTACTTTCATAAAAAGTTTCGATTTGTTGTCCAACTTCAGTTCACTGTGCTTTATATGTAGCTCAAGATTGAGACAGACTAGAAACAATTCCTAATGTCTGTTTGTACTAGTACACGAGAATGCTGATTTCGAGGAATTTCGGATAATCTTAACACTTAGCTATTTCTTAAGTGTCCACTCAATGCGCTAGAAATGCAAAATCATTATTTGTTCGATAATAATATTGTAAAAATTTTAATATACTTTTAAAATATTGTTAAAATAGATATATGAAAATTAAACTTACCTTAAAAATGTCAGTTTCTTATAAGATGGTTGGCCGTCAATGACTTCCTACAACTGAGACTTTATCTAGAAAAAATTTCCTTGTTCGTTTTTAACTTCCGTACAAAAATAAAATGTGGGTAATTAATCAGTTAAAAAAAATAGCAACGAGGATGTGAAATTAACCACATCCTTTTACACATAATTTATATAAACTTTGTCAAAATACCTGTGTATTAGGGGTGAGCAGGAAAAAATATCACTTTTCTAACTGGTATAATTATTTAAGGAATAGAAAGAACATCGAAATACGAGGCTATCTGATTTGTACGAAAGGGCGTAGCCCCCCCCCCCCCCCCCAGTAGAGTTTCTCTTTCGTATTATTGGCAAAAATAAAGCCACGTACGTTCCCTAGGCCTGTCGTCACAAAATGAAACCCAAGAACAATTTTAAGTAACCAATAATCGAGCATCTGAATATGACTTTTCTATCGTTATCCCTTTCACTGTCGTCCGCCGGGAAAATATGAGCGCTGTATTTTTATTTCCATCATACCGTGCGTATATCTAATACCTGCACTCAAGTAAACTCGGATACATTTTCAAGAGAAAAGTCCCCAACTATGATACAACTACATGTTTATAAACAATCATATTCGTTATTAAGATTGGTTTATAAAGAAATGGTTTTCAAAAAGTTAGTAAGATGAAGAAGCTTATTGATGCTGTTTCTTGAATATAAAAAATGCAGACAGAATTACAATCATGGCATATATCGCCGTATTAAGCTCGATTGCAAAGCAAGTTCTTGCTATATATTAATCACTATCACTCTCAATCGACTAAAATGATTTGTTTCAACCGGGCGTACCCTTACGACACGGATATCCCCGCAACATGGCTAACAACATCATCTTTTTATGATTTTAATACGTAATTTGCAAGGCAATGCTTATACCGCATTAGTGAATTTTAACCAAATATGAACGTGAGAAGAAGCTGGCCTGTTGTTGGCATAATTATACTAGATGTCTGTCATGATAAGCATGGTTTGGCTTTTAGGCAACCAGAAGTAATCATTTTGATATGTCGGAGGTAACTGTTTGATATCATTTTTCGTAGTGACATATGATATCAACATTTGATAACGCTATACATCAAGCTACAAGAATTTATCATTCGATAAAAGTTTGCAGTCATTGACGTTACATATCAAGGTCATAATTGCCCTGGCCTATAAACAATTGTTATATCGTATATACATATCTATACGTATAGATTAATGCAAGCTATATACATTCATTTATGAACATATATACATTTGTATTATATATTTCATTTCAAGATAGCGACCGTATATATATATGTGTCGTGATAAAGCACTCAATCTATCATCTCTACCTGATCATCATAATACTAGTAATCTATGACGTGCAATATAACAATCCACACGTGGGCCATGAATGCTGGCTTTAAATCATTTGGCCCTTACCATCATCGTATGATTTTTCAGATACCTTGTATATGTCAAATTTGAGTTGAATGCGATATGTGAGCAACCGTTACCAAGATAATGAAGACAGAACGACGGAACAGGGTCCCCAGCGATTTTATGGTGGGGGCATGAAAAATTATTTTTTGTGCTAAGTGATTCCTTTTGTAACAAGTTTAGTTTTTTCTTTGTTATTTTTCCTTTGTTTCACCATAACTTAACGTGAGATATAATCGAGGAAAATATGCTTTAAAATGATCTGTATGACTTTAATACAAACACATCTTAAATGTTTAGTGTAACGAAGTTATATCGTATTCACAGCTAAAATGTAGTACTTATCGCACGATCATTTACCTTCCTTAAAATATTTTTAATGCGTATTATGTCAATGTTATAGACAATAAATATTGTCTTTTAACATTTTTGTTCTCAACTCTAGTCTTTCAATTTCTATTCGAAATATTTAAGTTATATATATATGGACGTTGGGAATAGTTCACTGCAAAGATCTGATTCACAGTGTCAAAACTATTCTACATAATTTGAAATGAATATAAGTTGAATGAATATAACTAACTTAAAAATAATATCCTGATTTATAGTTACAAGGTAAAATATAAAAAACCATTCCATACAGCTAACTCCCTTCCATTGTGCTGCAAACACCAAGTTGCAAACAAGTTTATTTTTCATATAGATCTAGATGTAAAAAATGAAATAAATGTTTACTTTTCACTGATTTGATTCTTCTGAAAAAAAAATGATTGTAATATATTGGACAATTTCTTATCCTTATTTGGATTTTGACGAGGTTTATTTGCATTATAACGCTTAACTCAAGCTGAAAAAAGAGAAAATTCCAAAGAAATTGTTTATATCATATTTTTACTCCCTTTCTTCATAATTGAAGTTTTGATTGTGCATAAAAAGGTAACGCATATTCGAATAAGGTAACATCCTAAGCATACCTGTAGAATTAGCAGCTACGAATATGTTGATCGATCTACGCCCAAATTAATGATTTCATTTTTGAAATTTTATTTTTTTTCGATTTTTTTTTCATTTTATACGCCCGTGCGTATTGGCGTATCGGTAGGTACGCCACTGAGTATAAGCTAATGTTAATAAAAAAAAATCTGCATCAATTAAAAGTATAATGAGGAAACAACTAAAAAGTGAGCTACAGACAGCCAATGACCAAAATAGCTCATTTTTTGAGCACCTGCTCATGTGAGCTAAATATCTTATCAAAGTACTCTTAATAGCCCTTACATGTTGCATTTTTACAATGAACTTGTTCAGCTTTCAATTTAGAACAGCCCATTAAAGTTTTAAGAAATTTCAAAATTGTGATGTCAACCATATAGTGTGTGTCAGGCTGGTCTGGCTCTATACTTTGAGCAAAGGCTAATCACTTCAGTTCCAGTAAGGTAAGGGCTAATGTATGTTGTTCACCCTGAACACTTTATCCTACTGAGTTTATAAATTTATGACATCCAATAATATCTATTGTTATATAAAAACATTTGTCATAAGGTTCAACTATCTTATCAAAGAAGCAAAAACAATTATTTACACAACTACCCCATACATTGATACACTTAAACTTCCTGAAATGTCATTAACTCTTCATGTTGTATATACATGTAAAACATTTCAACACGGATTTACATTACAATTGTAATGTAAATCCGTGATTTCACTTCGTCATTTTTTATCATCTAAAAAAAATTTTCTTTGTTAAATTGAATATTTGTTTAAATTTCTTATTTATAGTTCGAAAAGAAACTATTATTTCTGGACTATTTTCTCACTAAGTTATTCATACACGCCGTATTTTCAGTCGCCAGATATAGGGATTTAGCTTTAAAAAGCAGGGCTTTGGACCAAAAAATAGTGGATTTTTCAAGAAGCGTACACATGTCGTAATCTAAAAATTATAAGTATAGTTTTCCCATTTTATTATCAAAAAGAGCATTTCTACATATCATTCGATATTTCCGAGTTTAAATAAGAGCTGTCGGTAGGACAGCAACGCTCGACTATTCTTAGTGCTTGATAGTAAAAGAGCATTGATAATGAAAAAAATTCTGAGTTAAAAGGACAATTTTTTTTCTTTAAATCCATGTTACAGTTATAGGCCTCGGTGAGAGTCCTATTATGCTCTCAAAGAAGAGTATAAAATTTCAACTTGTTTCAATAGAATATAAAAATATCTGAGTGTAAATGTAAATTTTAAGTCGAAAAAGGGTATCATTCTGTCAGAATGCTTGATACATTTACCCCCTCCTGTCTACAGGTTGAGGTTATAATGGTAAACAAGTGTGCAAAGTTTCAAAGCCATAAGTCAATGGACTTTGAAAATATTTGAGGTATTACAAAAACTTTAACGTAAATTCTAAGTTGAAAAAGGGGCATAATTCTGTTAAAATGCTTGATACAGTTACCTCCTCCTGTCTACAGGTTGAGTCATGATGGTGAGCAAGTGTGAAAAGTTTCAAAGCCATATGTCAATGGACTTTGAAAATATTTGAGATATTACACAAACTTTAACATAAGTGGTTACGCCGACGCTCGGTGACTAAAATAGCTATACTTATTCTTATCGAATAGTCGAGCTAAAAAAGAAAGAAAAACAACAAAACGTGTATCCCAAATGTGGTACATACTAATCTCATACTATTTCATACATGACATTGGTGATTCTTCTAGATTAAAAAGTTATTATGTCAGGAATTAATTGACTTCTTCAATAATTTATTATAAAATACAAATTCTTGATACCATGAAAGTGAAGGTCAAAGTATATGCTAATGTTAACACTGGAATTTAAATCTGTTATTAATTCTTGATGGTCTGTGATTTTCTTCAGTTTATATAAATGTTCCTAAACTTGCCTGATCATTTTTATCTGCATTACCGCACCATCTCTACATCAACTTCGAAGACAAAACACCGACACCAAACTCAAGGTCGGGTTACATGTCCAGAAAAAAGATATGTCATGCATTTAATATCGGCTATTGAAAGTAATTTAAGTATGTCGGAGTAATTAACAATACAATTATTCATTATTATGGGGGGATATTACCTCAGATGCTGTATTATTAAGTTGTAGTCTTTATATGTAAACCAAGTGTACCCTTAAGTAACAAGAGCCACCGACGGGCGGGGCAACGCTCCACATTTTTACTTATTAGCAAACAAATAAATGGTTTAAACAAATCTGTAAAAAGAAAACTTAAGATCAAAAAATGAAAAAAAAAATGAAAAAAGTTTTTCCTTTTTTTATTACATTTGTTGTTTTGTCCAAGTATGAATCATTTCCGTAAATAAACAACCCAGTTATGAATGTATGAGTAAAATTCAATCATCTGACTTTGTTATTTAAAGGTCAAGGTAACACCTTAACTATTCAACAAGTGTTGTTTTGTCCACATATGGATGAACTCCTTACATTAAATAGATTTATCACTAGAGGTAATCAGTAACTTTGACTTTTTGAAAAAAAAGTGGTCTGAAGAAAAATTTGAACTCAACTATAATAAATATCAACTGTGTACAAAAGAATTATTTCATTTAATTGCAATCCCAATCAGGATCTTCAGATAAGCTTGGTATACACCAAGTTCGATTACAATATCTCATTCCTAACTGT